GAACTGTTCACAAACAGAATTTGGCTTTGTGTCAAAACTTGACTATACAAGTACTATTTCATTTATAAAGAAAATATATCTATGATGAGTAAACTTTATTTTTATTCACATTAGAAAAATTTTATATAAAGAAATAAACTTCTAAATTATTAAAAGTTGATGAAGAAATTACAGATTTGTTGCTCTTACTTTATTAAAATGTTAAAGATTTTAAATCACTTATTTTAAATAAAAATAACAATGTAGTATTTCATTCCTAAATTACATGAAATTATATAGTAAAAAACACCAGAACTATATTAATTGTCTTTATCAATTGTTATGTTCAATAGTTACTGCAAATTGTCCACCTACACTCTGATTTTTTTCTTTGTTATATTAAGATTCAATCTAAAAAAACATGAGAAATCTATTTGGATAAACATATGAATGTGTAAAAAATTTAAATCTTTTACCTATCTATGTACAAAATTCATACATATGCAAACCTAATAAATTTAATGTTTAGGCTAGAATTTTAATATATTAATCAGCTAACAAAATAACTTTAGTTCAAGAATACATCTAATTTTCAAATACAGCGGGTGACGGGTTAACGAACATAAGCTGTTCCAAGACTTTGTTCACTATTCGAATTGTTCATTAACCAATTATCAATTTACCATAGGTTTTTATGGGAATTTGATTAATTCATTCTGGAGACCCCAAAAAATAAAAAATATACACTTTCTTACTATGTTTATTTATATGTAATAATAAAACAACATATATACACAGTCTTGCATTCTTATTAATCGTGTTTTTTCCATTTGTGGGGGTTAAAGAATCTGTCTAATATCGATTGCTTTTCTCTCTTCTTTGAAATTTTTCAGAAGTAATTAATTAATAGCATTGTTGTTGTAGAGATCCCTAAGCCTATTAACCTCAACCTGGTTTGGATGCCATTCTAAGACCATCGTTCTGACATCATTCCACTTTTTCAAAAGATGTTTAATAGCAGATATTGGCATTAATCCTCTTTTTCAGAAGAAAACATCTCGCCAAGTTTCTTGGTGTTATTCATTCAAGAGTTCTTGGCATTCTTCTGTCATCAGATCCATTTCAGGTGTAGTCAGGCATTCTATTATGAGATCTTCAATGTTCTTTATTTCTCAGATGTGATTGTTTTTTACTCCTTTAGCTGCTTGAGTCTTCTTGATTACACTATATTTTTCTTGATTACACTATATTTTAGATAAGATTGAACTGCAGCCTACTGTAGACCTATTCAAGCCATACTGTCCAGCAACACCAGACATTTGTCCACTCTCTACCTTTGCTATTATACTCTCACCTTTCTTATATATAATTTATATATAATACTGTACAGACGATAGTAATCTCTCCGTAGCGTGGCGCTACGGACGGCAGGAAAGTAGTTTGGCTGCCCGATGACGTTTTACATAATTATAGGAGGTTTTTACGGATACCGTCGCAATTTTTTTGCAGTTTTATAGGAATCGTAATTATAGGGGGGTCTACTGTATATATTTGCCAATCCTTTGTGAACTAGTCAGTTATAAGACTGCTTTTGTAACTAAAACTGTAATAAACTTTGCTATTATTTGTAAGAAAATATATGGTTCACAATTTTTTATTTACAGAAGTTTTTTCAAGTCTTCAAAAGGTATCATTTGTAAAAAAAAAAAAAATTAAGAACTTAATTGAATATTTGATTTGTGTTACCATCATGGCTTTTGAAATATTTTAAAGAAATGCCCTAATTTAAAATAGTTTTATTTCATCTTAATTGATTAAAGTTTGTTTTTTGAATGTTTCAGATTGTAAATTGTTTAAATACTTTTTTCATAATTTATCAAATTTTGTTAAGTTGGCAGTTTTCCAAACTTAATTTGAACACTTTCAGAAAAATGTTTAAATGATGTAATGAACATGAAAATGTAGAATATAACATTAATAATAATGTAATTAGATTTAATACATGGAATGCATTTTATTTAATCTATTATGGAATTTTGACTAAGTTAGAAAATTTAAATATTTTTATTATGTTATTTTTGGTTATTCAAAAACATTTCATATTATTTCAAATAATTCTCAATTTTAATTTATATTTTTAGTTGTTACAGGATATAGTAATGGAATTAATTACAAATGAAACAAATAAAATGATTCAAAATGATGTCAGATGGGAAACATTTTTAGAAAAGTCATCAGAGGAAATTTTTTCAGCACTTTTAGAATCATTATTATTAATATTTTTAAGGTAAAATTTAATTTATTGTTAATGAAATATGATAATAGTATGACATAATAACAGCAATACAACAATATAAAATTATTGTGTAACAATTTAAAATTAATTATATAAAAAAAACTTTCAAGTGTAAAATTTTTTAAACAGTTTTTAAATCTATAGTGAAATTTGCATTGAAGTATTTACAACTGAAAAGGAAGAAAAGCAGTTATTATTTGAAGCAAAAGAAATAGAGAGAAAAACAATAGAAGTTGAATGTTTGCATCTTACTGAAGAAGTGGTTGTTGAAGAAGCTGAAAAAATTTCAAGGTTTAAAATTATTTAGTTTTTCTATGTATTTAATTTTCAAATGTAAACATATTGAATAAATTTAAAATTTTTACAGAAATATCTACATGGATATTAAAACAAAATGTTTAGAAATTATTGGACAAAATCTATATCATGATATAATCTCTGAAATTTTAACATCTGAGATTTTTGATATTGCTAATGAAATTCATTATAAAGAAATGGAAATAAAGAGAAATATGCTCAAAGCAATACAAGAAGAAATGAAATTAATTCGTATTCGTAAAGTACTTGACAGGTATGAATAACTGTTGAAATTAAAAATGTATATATAATAAATTTTTTAGCTGATAGTGTTTTTCTTTTCACATTAAATACAAAAATAAAAATAAGTAATGCTAATTTGCCAAATTAAATTTAATAAATGCAAATAATTTACGCCACCACTAAAGAACTGCTAATTTAACAGTGCTGTATGTAGCAGCAATAATTACCATATTTTTCAATTGTCTTTTCATGTATTAATATTATTGTAAAACTCTAATTCCAGCTTTGTTAAAAATTTGTTTTTTCAGCAAGGCTTTGATTCAATTATTTAATATAGTAAAAACTTGTTTTAATCTAATACTAAATGAATTTGTATTAAGTGAATAACTATTCTTTGTCATAGGTCATGAAAATCAAAGAATTTTTTTTATATANCCCCTATAGTTTTGTTAATTTTCTAGTATAAGTAGTGTATAGCTTATTTGTAAATATATTGATTTATATATGATGTCTTATATTTTACTTGATCAGGTCAAAATATGGAAACTAGTTATATATCTATTCTACGTGCTCAAGCGGGAAAACTTTCTGATCATGATTTCATAACAACAGTCACTTCAGAAAATTCAAATATTTTTGAAAGGAGAGTTGCTGTTCCAGAAAAGTTGGAGTTTTCTACAGTAACAGATGAGGTAATTGTGCCTAATAGAACACCATGTTACTTAATCATCTTAAGGATAGAAAACTTTATTACAGTTTCCAGTAGTAATATATAAAAATATTTATTCTTGGATAATTTTAAATATGTTTTAAGATTCTTTAAGTAGAGAATAGTTAAATAAAATCTGAAATTGGGAGTCATTTTTGAAAATATTACTTAGGTATCTATTAACATCAAATTTTAAAATGTAAAATTTCTCATAAAACAATGAGGACAATATATTCAAAATTAAGCTTGAACAAAAACAATAATCGATACTGAAGAAAAGAAATTGCTTTGTTACAAATTTTTTCAACTTGATAAAATGTATGATGATTAGATGTTTAATTATGGTTAAGACCAGTTAAGTTATTTCTGCTTGACCTAATTAGCAAGAATGGGGAAAAAATTGTAAAGTCAGCTCAGTATAGAAGGAATCAAAGCTAAAATATTGGTCTTTTTATGTTGTAGATACAATATAACACAAAAACTGTAAACATTCACACATTGTCCATTCTATAAAATTCTTTTATAATGCCTGAAAATAAAATGTATCATCTTTATAGATGATATTTATTTTAACTTAGAATTGAAAATATATTCTATTTAAATAAATAATTCAATAAAATTTAAAGAATGTATGTTAGGACTATTTCATATTACTGAAGCATGTTTAAAGACATGAAAAAGCCCAGTAAGTAACAGTAAAGTAAGCAGAGTTTTAATAACTGGATTTTCTTAAAAATTTATGATTTTGAAAAATATCTCATTTAATTTTGCATACTTTTATTATAAATCAAATGTTAAAATGACTTCTGATTTCTTATGTTAATTATAAAACAAATTAAACTATAACACATTTGAATGGAAACTGTTAGAAGTAATTTTAAATATTAAATATTTTTTAGCTCTATTTTGTTTAAGATATTTTCAATTGTAATAAATGATGGATTTGTATGTTGATTAATAAATATCAAAAATCTGTTTGTTTACAAAAGTATTTATTAAGTTTACGAAATATAAATTTTGAAATTATTCAAAAAAAAAAAAGATGGAAGAAGAATTTTAAAGTACTAAAACCTGGAGATGTTTTTATGATGATAAGGGGAAAAAACAAATAATGATATGGATAAATAAAGTATTAAAACTTCTGCTTTAGAAACAGAATCTTTTGATAAATCTGAATTGTGTTATATATTATTTTTTAAGTTATATTATTGCCACAATGTTGGCATGTCACAATTACAATTTAAAAAAAATATTTTAAAGCAGTACTTCTATCATTGTACAGTAAAATTTATTTATGCATAGCTATATATATATATATAACATATATACAGTCGACCCCCTATAACGTGCGTTCCTATAACGGAAATTCCTATAACATAGCGAAAAAATTGTAGCAACATTCGTATAAAGGAGCTCCTAAAACGTCGTCGCCGACTTGTTTTGCGACAAGATTGATAGAATCTGGACCAATAGTGGATGAGCAGCCGAACCTGCCACGCTACGGAGCGGCTAAATTGAGTTTGCTATCATCTGTACAGTATTATATATAAATTAGGTACTGTACATATAATTATATATAAATTAGGTACTGTATATATAATTATATATTAATTTATTGTAACTTTATTATAATTATATATATGCTTTCCGCCGCCCGGCGCCACGTTACGGAGAGTTTAGGCTAGTAAGTTGAGTTTATTATCGTCTGTACAGTATGTAAATTAGGTACCGTAAGTCTAATACAACACTAATTTTATACATTTCTTGTGAAAGAAACACTTCTTATTCAACGGCCATAAAAATTATTTATATTAATGATGTCTCCAAAGGTCAAGTTATTTTTCTGCGAAAAATTCGTTATCAGAAATCGCGGCCGCCATTTCGTGTGCTGTTCCGCGATGAAAACAAGCTTTGAGCAACGGCGTAGTCGAACGGTGCACANCAGAATTGGGTATTAATGAAGGAATAGGTTGGACATCTGGAAACCGCTGGTAAAAGTTTTTCCATGTTTCAAAGTTTATTATTGAAGTGTTTTTGCATAACTCTATTTTAAAGTGGAATTTTCATATTATAGACCAAAATGATTTACTATCTTTGCTGTTCTTTTTAGAGTTGATTCAAGGTTTGTGAGGTAGTTTGCTTTTTAGCTTAGTTTACTGTAGATTTGTTTGGCCTCTCTGTAGTTATTGAAATTTAGGATATTTGAATTTTTACAAAACAGTTTTAAGTTGATTTGTTTCATCTTTTTTATCTTGTAATAGTCAATGTCATACCATGGGTTTTTTAATTTGTTTTGGATGGGTCTTTTGTCATTTTTAATTTATATAAAATCTATTCATTGCATATATATATATATATATGCAATGAATAGATTTTATATATATATATGTTTTAACATACAGTAAAACTTATCCTAAATTGAACCTGAAGAAAATGGAAACCTACCTAAATGGAAAAAATTGTTTGGAACAGAGCAACTTTTTATTAAAAAAAAGTATACAAAATGGAAACATGCCAAACAAGAAAAAGTGTTTGGTACCATGAAATTCTAATTTATATAGTTTTTATTGTATTAATTAAACATTTTTTCACTAATCTAAATACTTGTTGACAAGACTATGTCTTGTTTATAAAATCGTACTGCCAGTCACTATTACCAGCTTAGAGGTATGAAGGAGTACATGTCAAGAGTTGATATTTGGCACAGAGTATTAGGTACCCAAATCATTTGCACAGACTTGTAGGTAGTCAAGGGACCGAGAACCAAGTCAAAATAAAATACAAAATGGCAACCCTCTTCTACAAACAGGCAAAACAACCACCTCACCCCACCAAAGTCAGGTAGGGGAGAGTACCACCCACAGTCATTCTAAGAAGTGAACTCTGACTTTAGGACTGAACACTAGTTTCTTCTATGTTAAATAAAATTTGGGAGTGCTTCAAATATGACATTAAAATGGTTTTATGTTGTTACAAGTGGGTTTTTTAAACATTATCTAGTATAGCAAAATTGTGGGACCAATAAAAATTTGACGTGTAGGGCGGCACCATGTGACCTTCGTCTTTTGACCTCACTTTGCTCCTAAACTCTAACAAAGAGAGACATCTTTTTACTTCATTTAGTTAACCTTTTGATTCGACAGCCATGCAGATCTTGGATTTGTATTATATTTCAACACTTCTGGAAGCGAAGACTAGCTCGAGGGTCTGGGTAGCGTAACTGGTAAGCGCGCCGCAAGGCAAGCGGAGGCTGCGGGTTCGAGTCCCGCCCCGGGCCAGTTCTTTTATTCCAGAAGGTTCTAATTTATTTAATTTATTTAATTTTAATTATTAATTTATTTAAGAGATGGCGCCTAACGTCTACCTCAAGTGTCAAATTACTTTATTCCAATCATTTAATTAGCCGTATTATAGCCCGATATTTAGGCGATCGTTTGGTGATGTATTTACTACTCGGGCTATGAGTTGTTGATATTTATATATATATATNTTAAAATGTTAAAGATTTTAAATCACTTATTTTAAATAAAAATAACAATGTAGTATTTCATTCCTAAATTACATGAAATTATATAGTAAAAAACACCAGAACTATATTAATTGTCTTTATCAATTGTTATGTTCAATAGTTACTGCAAATTGTCCACCTACACTCTGATTTTTTTCTTTGTTATATTAAGATTCAATCTAAAAAAACATGAGAAATCTATTTGGATAAACATATGAATGTGTAAAAAATTTAAATCTTTTACCTATCTATGTACAAAATTCATACATATGCAAACCTAATAAATTTAATGTTTAGGCTAGAATTTTAATATATTAATCAGCTAACAAAATAACTTTAGTTCAAGAATACATCTAATTTTCAAATACAGCGGGTGACGGGTTAACGAACATAAGCTGTTCCAAGACTTTGTTCACTATTCGAATTGTTCATTAACCAATTATCAATTTACCATAGGTTTTTATGGGAATTTGATTAATTCATTCTGGAGACCCCAAAAAATAAAAAATATACACTTTCTTACTATGTTTATTTATATGTAATAATAAAACAACATATATACACAGTCTTGCATTCTTATTAATCGTGTTTTTTCCATTTGTGGGGGTTAAAGAATCTGTCTAATATCGATTGCTTTTCTCTCTTCTTTGAAATTTTTCAGAAGTAATTAATTAATAGCATTGTTGTTGTAGAGATCCCTAAGCCTATTAACCTCAACCTGGTTTGGATGCCATTCTAAGACCATCGTTCTGACATCATTCCACTTTTTCAAAAGATGTTTAATAGCAGATATTGGCATTAATCCTCTTTTTCAGAAGAAAACATCTCGCCAAGTTTCTTGGTGTTATTCATTCAAGAGTTCTTGGCATTCTTCTGTCATCAGATCCATTTCAGGTGTAGTCAGGCATTCTATTATGAGATCTTCAATGTTCTTTATTTCTCAGATGTGATTGTTTTTTACTCCTTTAGCTGCTTGAGTCTTCTTGATTACACTATATTTTTCTTGATTACACTATATTTTAGATAAGATTGAACTGCAGCCTACTGTAGACCTATTCAAGCCATACTGTCCAGCAACACCAGACATTTGTCCACTCTCTACCTTTGCTATTATACTCTCACCTTTCTTATATATAATTTATATATAATACTGTACAGACGATAGTAATCTCTCCGTAGCGTGGCGCTACGGACGGCAGGAAAGTAGTTTGGCTGCCCGATGACGTTTTACATAATTATAGGAGGTTTTTACGGATACCGTCGCAATTTTTTTGCAGTTTTATAGGAATCGTAATTATAGGGGGGTCTACTGTATATATTTGCCAATCCTTTGTGAACTAGTCAGTTATAAGACTGCTTTTGTAACTAAAACTGTAATAAACTTTGCTATTATTTGTAAGAAAATATATGGTTCACAATTTTTTATTTACAGAAGTTTTTTCAAGTCTTCAAAAGGTATCATTTGTAAAAAAAAAAAAAATTAAGAACTTAATTGAATATTTGATTTGTGTTACCATCATGGCTTTTGAAATATTTTAAAGAAATGCCCTAATTTAAAATAGTTTTATTTCATCTTAATTGATTAAAGTTTGTTTTTTGAATGTTTCAGATTGTAAATTGTTTAAATACTTTTTTCATAATTTATCAAATTTTGTTAAGTTGGCAGTTTTCCAAACTTAATTTGAACACTTTCAGAAAAATGTTTAAATGATGTAATGAACATGAAAATGTAGAATATAACATTAATAATAATGTAATTAGATTTAATACATGGAATGCATTTTATTTAATCTATTATGGAATTTTGACTAAGTTAGAAAATTTAAATATTTTTATTATGTTATTTTTGGTTATTCAAAAACATTTCATATTATTTCAAATAATTCTCAATTTTAATTTATATTTTTAGTTGTTACAGGATATAGTAATGGAATTAATTACAAATGAAACAAATAAAATGATTCAAAATGATGTCAGATGGGAAACATTTTTAGAAAAGTCATCAGAGGAAATTTTTTCAGCACTTTTAGAATCATTATTATTAATATTTTTAAGGTAAAATTTAATTTATTGTTAATGAAATATGATAATAGTATGACATAATAACAGCAATACAACAATATAAAATTATTGTGTAACAATTTAAAATTAATTATATAAAAAAAACTTTCAAGTGTAAAATTTTTTAAACAGTTTTTAAATCTATAGTGAAATTTGCATTGAAGTATTTACAACTGAAAAGGAAGAAAAGCAGTTATTATTTGAAGCAAAAGAAATAGAGAGAAAAACAATAGAAGTTGAATGTTTGCATCTTACTGAAGAAGTGGTTGTTGAAGAAGCTGAAAAAATTTCAAGGTTTAAAATTATTTAGTTTTTCTATGTATTTAATTTTCAAATGTAAACATATTGAATAAATTTAAAATTTTTACAGAAATATCTACATGGATATTAAAACAAAATGTTTAGAAATTATTGGACAAAATCTATATCATGATATAATCTCTGAAATTTTAACATCTGAGATTTTTGATATTGCTAATGAAATTCATTATAAAGAAATGGAAATAAAGAGAAATATGCTCAAAGCAATACAAGAAGAAATGAAATTAATTCGTATTCGTAAAGTACTTGACAGGTATGAATAACTGTTGAAATTAAAAATGTATATATAATAAATTTTTTAGCTGATAGTGTTTTTCTTTTCACATTAAATACAAAAATAAAAATAAGTAATGCTAATTTGCCAAATTAAATTTAATAAATGCAAATAATTTACGCCACCACTAAAGAACTGCTAATTTAACAGTGCTGTATGTAGCAGCAATAATTACCATATTTTTCAATTGTCTTTTCATGTATTAATATTATTGTAAAACTCTAATTCCAGCTTTGTTAAAAATTTGTTTTTTCAGCAAGGCTTTGATTCAATTATTTAATATAGTAAAAACTTGTTTTAATCTAATACTAAATGAATTTGTATTAAGTGAATAACTATTCTTTGTCATAGGTCATGAAAATCAAAGAATTTTTTTTATATATTATCATAGAAAAATATAGTAAATAAAGTGCATTTTCACTGATCCAAACCAGTTTAACTTGCCTATTTTTTTGCTAAATTTTCACCAAAAAAAATAAAAAAAGATAATGGATGAAATTCTTTAAATCATTATGAATTACAAATTAATATGTAATAATAGTATATATTTTAACACTACATTGTATTTGGTACATATATTTAACATTTAAAAAAAAATATTATTTCTGTAGTTTTTTTTTGAATGGTAGAATATATATATATTAAACAACCCATACATAATTAGCTTGGATTAATGAGAATGCATTGTGTTGGTATTAAAAAATATACAAAATTATCTGAAAGATATAAATTATCAAAAAGATACTAAAATTTAGACTATTATATTAATTATCATAATTTTTGGAAAGGAACAGAATTACAGATTTTTAAATCATTGGAAATTTTCATATATGTTGACAGTTTAAAGTCATTATAGAATATTTGTAATTCTATTGTACTTTTAGTTTTTAGATAATATAACAAAATTATTTTAATTTTCTTTTTCATTTTTTTATAAATTTATTCAGTTTTTATTTCATACACATATTCAAGTTACAAATAATGATGTTTTAAATAAATTTGAATAAATTTTCTAAATCATTTAAATTTATTGAATTTAACAATATCTGTTTAAAGCAATATTTGTTTTGATTTCATAAAAATAGAATAGTTATTAAAGTATCAAGTTGTTAATATTAAATAAATTTTAAGATGGAAACAACTTTGCGTGAAAAGACGTCAGCTTGATGAAGCTCGAAAAACATTTCCAAGTGCACCTCCATTGGAAATGAAAAATTATAAGACTCCAAATGGTAAACGAGATGCTTTAAATTTTAGCAAGCATTTGCAAAAGCAATGTGTCTTAGGTAAAAAAAAAGATCTTTTAATATTTCTTTGTCTAAATTGAAAATAAAATTTTTAGTCAATAAACATTCATTTATATGCATTTCAGATTTAACAGTAAAAGATCAATTGAAGAATACAATATTCTCTGAACCACTAGATTTGAAAAATATTCTTTGGAATTCATTATTTCTCAAATATGAGACTTTTCTTGAATCCTATACATTTAAACTGCTGCTTATTTTGCCAATGGAGACTGATGATCAATCATATTTATGGAAAAAATGGTTTACTGAAAAGTTCAAAAAAGACTGTAATGAAAATAGTATTTTGAAAAGTGGGGTAATTATATTTCCTTATTTGTTAATTTTTTTAATGTATGTTTAAAGTTATTTCTAATGGGTGATCAAATGGTAAGTTACTCAAAAGAAGTTTGGTGACACCACAAAATCAGACTTAATCACATTGTGAGCCAGCTGCACTTTTTACTTCCCTATTACGTATCATAAGAAACACTTAAATCTTAAATATTTATGTACTTCAGATGTGAGGAATAACAATTTAAACTCTAAATATAAAGTTTATGGACAACCCTTTATATGACTGAAATTTGTAGCCATATAAACAGAGTCATAATATAATCCTTCTTTTGAAATAAACATCTTAATGATTTTTTGTGAAACTCTTCTAAGTTTGCCCAAATGTCTCAACACCTTTTCTCAGATAACTTCTGTTTATGATAAGATGTTTAGTTATATAGAAATTTCACAGACTGCCATTTATTAAAGTGTTTATAAGCATAAATCTTTTTAAGTACAGATGATTTCAAGTATTTTTGCATAAACCATTGTCTTAAGTTTTGGGTAATGTTTCTTTTTTATGTAATTATGAAAATTCTCCATTCTTTAGTGTAAGGAATTTCCAGTTATTATAATACTTAATTTAAATAATAATTACAATATTACATTTGGAGTCTCATTTGGTTTGTGAGAAGTCAGCAGAGGGTAAAATTTGTTTTAAAATGAAAGGAAACTTTCTCCTTGCCTTTCCCAGAAAGGGAATGATGAGGATTTCGAGGAAGTTTGTAAAAAATGTATATCTCATTCCATTGTCAATGATATGATCTACTCAAAGTCAAAAAAGTTTAATTTTTACATTATATATTATATACTGACAATAATTTTGATATTGTAGATGAAAATTGGTCACCTGCTCCTTTGACTTTTAAATTGTGCACCAGTAAGGGAATGTAGACTGAATCAAAAACTTTCTGAATGTCTATGAACGACTCATATACTTTTCTGAGTTTTTTAGTTAAGTGAAGCTGTAATAGTGATGATAATAAAATTGCAGATTCTGTTCCCTTATTTTTGATATAGGCATACTGGAATTTAGCTTCTAGATCCATTGTTTTAGTCCCATTTTGAAATTTTGTAACTAGTATTGTTGTAAAAAATTTCTCATTGTTGATAATAAAGCTATGGGTCTATAATTACTTGGAGAGAGTTTGTTGTATATCATTATGAGTATAACAGAATTCCAAGAGTCTGGGTATTTAGTTGCTTTATACATTGAATTGAACAAGTGCAGTAGTTTTATTCTTGCTTGATATGGAAGTGTCTTCAGAAATTTAGTTGGGATGTAATCACTTCTTGGAGTTATATTGCTACAAATTTTGATTATGATGTCTTCTAGTTCTTTAATTGTAAGTTTGGAGTTCAGATATTCATTGTTAAAATCAGAATTGGGTATTAATGAAGGAATAGGTTGGACATCTGGAAACCGCTGGTAAAAGTTTTTCCATGTTTCAAAGTTTATTATTGAAGTGTTTTTGCATAACTCTATTTTAAAGTGGAATTTTCATATTATAGACCAAAATGATTTACTATCTTTGCTGTTCTTTTTAGAGTTGATTCAAGGTTTGTGAGGTAGTTTGCTTTTTAGCTTAGTTTACTGTAGATTTGTTTGGCCTCTCTGTAGTTATTGAAATTTAGGATATTTGAATTTTTACAAAACAGTTTTAAGTTGATTTGTTTCATCTTTTTTATCTTGTAATAGTCAATGTCATACCATGGGTTTTTTAATTTGTTTTGGATGGGTCTTTTGTCATTTTTAATTTGGATGTAGCCATTCTTATCTGAATGAATCATGTTATTATAAGTTGGTTCACTATTTAGATCAGTTATTTCTGGAATGTTGATAAATCTGTTTTCAATTTCATCTAAATACAGAAGGTTGGTTGCGTACCATAATGCCAATTTGTATATTACCCATAGTTCCAGTTGTAGGAAGTAGAATAAAAGCAACTGGCCCATGTGCTGCTGTATATTCTGAGTTTTACTTTTGATAAATAAGGTTTATCTATTGCAAATATGCCACCTAAAATTTCAGACTTTTGGGCAGGTTATGTAACTACTCTTTCCAAAGCAAAATATTTGCAAACTCAAATTATTAAAATGTGCAAAAATCATGGTTTTAATGTTTCACAATATGGGATACAGTCAGTTCTCAAAAGAAATGATTTGCAAGAGCCAGGACCATCGTCAAGTGTTTCAATTTGGCCCAGAAAAAGGAACACCCTAAGCCACACACCAGAGGTGATAGCAAAAGTGTGACGACTGATCAGTGGTTCAAATCCAAAAACCCAACAAAGTATTGCCCAGAGTGTTGGAATAGCCCAGTCCACAGTTCATGTCATCATTCACAAGAATTTGAAACTGGAGAAACACCATAAAGGTCAAGTTCACAAGCTGCTGTCTCATCACATCCAAGAACGAAAGACCAACTGCCGAAAACTGTACGAAAAGTATCTTTCGGTAAACAAGTGGCAGTTTGTAGTCATGCTAGATGAAGCATGGATGTACATGAACAATTGTAACAAATCACGGGCAATTTACTACAGACCATCAAATGGGGGAGACCATACGAAAAATGGTTCAAGAAATGTCGCAAAAGTTTTTCATCAGGCTTTATGGTCATTGCAGTTTATTGTTACTGTGGTAAACTAAACATCAAAAAAGTTGAAAAAAACGTTAAAATTAATTTGATATACTACCAGACTAATGTTCTGGAACCTCTATACCATGAAGAGATCCCCTACTTTGTATGGAAATGACCAAACAAATGTATAGGTGCATCAAGACAAAGCTTCCAGTCATACCTCCAAATTGACCCGAGATTTCATCCATGTATTCATCCAAATTGATCCGAGATTTCATACATGGAAACGGAAATCCATACCATCCCTGTGAAGTTACCCAACATGACTCCAGTGGACTACTGTGCGTTTGGTCTATGAAACGAGCTCTGTGAAGCCATTGTCCAAAAACAATGGCAGGCTTATGGAAAGCCTGGAAGGAGGAATGGGATCGTTTGGACATGAATATTCTTCAAAGAAACCATCTACAGTGGAAACTTCGACTTAGGGCTATAGTTTCACAACATGGCCATCAGATCAAGCATAATCAAAACTAACACCATGGCATTTAGGTTACTTTATAGGCCTCTTAATTTGGCATTATGTAATGTGATCAACCCTCTGTAACTTGACATTTTGTAATAGATCCTTTGTTGCCTGTTGAACACGTTAGTTGATATTCCATGTGAAAACAATAAGAATTTTATTATTGTTGGGAAATGATCAGATACATCATATATTGTTATAGTGAATTCTGAACAACAGTCTAACAAAAATTCTGTACATATAGTGAGGTCTATAGTGGATTTACCACTATGTTTGATACAGGTAAATTCTGCTGGATAATCGAGCGTGATACATCTGTTTAAAATATACATTTTATAATTGCTTATTGATTTTATTAAGTTTACTCCTAGTTTGTTAGTATGCTTATCTTTTGAATGTTGGATGTCCTGAATTAGTGAGTTAGATCCACTGTATTGGGAGTCCATCATCAGCAATACATGAGTTAGTTAGTCTTCGAATAGGAGGATATACAGAGTGATGTGCTGCCAAAGATCAATTATTTTAAAAATTTTGTTGAGTTTTAGTAAACAGTTGGGAGGAATGTAGGCAATCATTACAATTATCAGTTGACAGTCTTTGTTTCCGAGTATGGGTTTGTTCATTGAAAGTAGAAGTAGAATATAATTATCAGATTTTTTTGGTTTGAAGTATTTTGCAAAGGTGTTTTTTTATTAAAATACATAGGCCACCACTTGGACATCAAGGACCAAGTGGTATTCATGCTGGTACTGTTTCAGTTATGTAATCATTGAAAAAAGTTGATTTATAAAACAATTCCAGTGTTATCCACATTTTGGTTATTTCTATGATATCTGGTTTATATTTTAATTGAAAGTAATTCAGTGATGGTAATTTACTTTTAAGGCCTTGGCTGTTCCAGTTTATAACAGAAATTGGTTGCCTGTTTTTAATGTCTTTTTCCTGATGAGATTTTCTTTGATGTATTCAGTATCAACTTGCAATTTCTGTTGGCATAGGAAAAGGCAAAAAGGTATTCGCATAAACCAACTTCCCTGTATCAATACTGAATGTTATTCTGTCTCAGCCTATTAGTAAAATATCATTGTGTAGTTTTATTGGACAGTTTTGTTTTCTTATGTCATAATAGGCTGGAAGTAAGTGGTTTTGTCTTTTTCATGATTCCTTAGTGATGTCTGGTGAAATTTGCATATTTTTCCAATTTTCCAATAGGTTCTGTTCTTTCTTTGATATAAAGGCATTAAAAACCTAGTCTTGGATCTGTTTATTACTAAATGTTAGTCTTATGACTAGATTGGTTGATTTGGTTATTTGAGTTATGTTTAGAACATCATCTTGTGATACATTATGTAGGTTTAGTGAGGAGTTAATAAATTTGTGAATTTTTAATTTGGAGATATTTTTTGACATGGATAATTATACAATATTATATTGTTATAGTGAAGTTCATTAATCAAAACATCCATTTTGTACTGCATTGAGTGTATTTTCTGTTTTTAAATTGTTGATTTGCAGTTTTAGGTTATCAATTTGGCCTTCTGTTTTTTTGGAACTGTTCTTTGTTTTCACTTATGTTTACATGAATTAAATCCAAGTCTTCTTTTATAGAAGTCATTTGGGTAGACAGTTTATCATTAGAAGTATTTATCAGTTCTGAGATTTTATACCATAGATGTGTTGGAATGTCTGGTGAGTCACCTGAATTAGTCAGTGAGATCAGAAAAATGCATTAGACTCACCTGGAGAACTTTGCAGACTTTGTGATATTGTGTCCATATGAGAATTGTTGATTGCTGAGGATGATTCTGGTAAGTCTTTATCCACTTGTAGGTTAAAGTCTGTTATAAGCTTGGAGTTAGATAAACGTGGTTGAGTCTTT